ATTTGTCCAAATATTTGTGGCAGATTTGTCCAAAAGGTGTGCGTTTTTTGCGCCAATACATTGTTAAAGGATCAGCGTGTCATGTAATATTCCCATATAAACTTTAACATTTTGCTAATTCACGAGATCAATACATCCCATAATAGACCGCTTTGTCGGGTTAAATGCATCCTTACGGAGGTGTCGAAATGCTGAATCAATTCATTCACTTCCAGCAGCGCTTAATGGGAGCAGCGTCACAGAGGGCAGAGCGTCACGTTATTTAAAGGGGACGTTAACGCGTTAACGAGTAGCAAATGATTAAGTAGCTACATTGGTTACTTTTATGCCACAGATAAAGCTTTTATATGTAGTTTGGGGTAACAAAGGGGTTTTATAGGTTTGACTAAAATAATGCAATAACTGACACTTTAAATCAATGTTTCAAGAAACAACAGCAAATTTTTTTTACAAAAAACAGATAAAGACAAAAAAGTAGCCGTTGATAATATCTAAACAATGTGTAGTAGTATAGTATATAGTATCCAAATCAAAATGTAATAAAATTAATTTATGTGTGATTTATGTGTAAATTATGTGCAACGTCTTAGCCACTAGGGATTGTTACATAGGGCTATACAGGCATCTAGTGGCAACACAATGATATTACAGATTCTAAATTGTGCAAAATGTTTATCTTAACAGTCAATTTACAAATAATGCATTCAGATTTGTGGAACTCAATGCACTGAATCTCCACAAATTAGTGTCGTTACTATGACAACCAATTTGAATGTGACAAGCAACTGGTGTCTGAAAAGAATTTTCAGACTTCTCCGGCTATTTGTAGCTGTTTTTCCCACGATTATCTGCACGATGACCCTGCATTGAAGCTCTTTACTACTTGCACAAGGTGCATTTCACGCTTAATGTGATTTGCCCAAGTATGACATGTTCTTGGAGAAACATAAAAAATGGCATGAACCAATCAGATTTTTAATATATAATTTATAAATTGTATTGTATTTTAAATTATAATGTAATTAAAATATTCTATAATTTTATATATATATATATATATATATATATATATATAAACTTCTGATTATATATATATATATTCTAGTTATTTCTAATTATAAATTCATTTTCTAATCTAAAATATTATTATGTTTTTATTATTTTAAATAAAAACTTCAATTTATATATACATAATACATGTTTTATTCTAATATAATTTATAATTTGTAAAATATTATATTTATTTATTAATATATCAGATTTCATCTTTCAGTCTGCACCTTTGATGTTGCTGGTCTGTCCTCAAACCTACTGTTATGTGCACAAAATGGAGAAGGAATAGTTTAGGAAGCTGATGGAGAGGATGCAGATGCCCATGTGCTTCTATTCCTGACAAAAGCCAGATGCAAACCCCTGAATTCTGCAACCTTTTTTGGTAGCAGCATTTTCATACACACTTAAACATAATATTGTGACACTGGATTGCCTTACTGGATTTTCAAGGCAAATGCCACTGTGTTTTAATATGGCAAATCCTGACAGTCTTTGAAGTTAGTTCACTGACTTTACTACTTCTGGGACAAGTTCAGAACTGCTGTTAAATCCAGTCTAATGCAGTGTAGAAGAAACTTACGGTAAGATAAAGGCAGTGAACTTGTCATCCACCTAGGTGTCTGCAAAAATGAATGGTAAAAATTGGTGTAGAAGATGCACTGAGCCCCCATGAATAATTCATATGGAACCAGAGACTACATGGGGAATCAAAGCACATTTTTGGGAAGCCAATAAGGATTAAAATAGTGTGTCTCTTGTGTGTCTTAATATGGTGTGTTTAAAGTGTAACTCATTTAAAAAATGAGTGTGTGTTGGCGTGGTATTGTCTGCTAAACGAATCCCAGTAAGAGCCGTGTTGCTCCAGGTTGTTTTCATTGGAGAAGAGGGGGAAAAATTGGCTCTGCACTGGCCCCTAAAGCCTGCTGGTCTTGAACCAGGAACTGCTAACATCAGAGGCCAATGCCTGGGATAATGTCAGCATAGAGTGATGTTTTCTGAACAGCAAATTAATATTGCCAAGACTGATGCAAAACAAATTAATATCGCTCAAAAGAAAAGGCTCATGCATTGGATTTACAGTGGAAACACCACATGCATTCAGTTGATGTTGCTGTTTGTTCACAATACATTTTACAATTATTTTATTTGCAATTACCATATTTGAAATAACTGCTATGAATCTCATTCATTTTATATTAAATTAACTTCTGACCAATGCATTAAAATCTGTTTCTGGAAATACAAGCGAATTATCAATTTGGTGGAAAAGGCTTGCATATATTTCCCTTTCTCTGTCTTGCAGGTGCAACATCCAGGACTACATGTGGCACAAGGGTGCCCGCTGTGAATCGGTCATCACGGAGTTCCAGGTAATGTGCATCGCCATCGGGGCCTCCGCTCTCATGGTGCTCCTGCTCTTCATGATCGTCGTTTGCTTTGCCAAGAAGCTGCACGTGCTCAAGACTGAGAATAACAAGTTGCTCAAGCGCAGGTGAGACTCTGGCCTGTGTGGTACTGATTTTTACAGAAAGTAAGACAAAGTGGAAGGGTTTATGGATTAAACGCTTTAAAAGCTCATGTTGTGTGGTAGAATTAGGAACAAATACATCGCACAGGGTGAAGCTTGCCAAATATTTGTGTAGCTATTTAAATAGCAACAGTTCACTCTCATGACATTCCTCAGGCATGTACCTGTACACCATCAAATGTTTGAAATAATTATGATTTTTTTTTTCATGTTTTTGAAAGTCTTTAATGCTCACCAAGACTGAAAATGGTAATATTGTGAAATATTATTGCAATTTAAAATAAGTGTTTTGTATTAATATATTTTAAAATGTAATTTATTCTTGTGATTTCAAAGCTGAGTTTTCAGCATCATTACTGTCCAGTCTTTAGTGTCACATGATCCTTCAGAAATCTAATATGCTGGTTTGGTGCTTTATTCAATTATTATGATCAGTTATTATTAGTTATAAATTAATTAATTACTAATAATAGTTATAAATGGATCAGTGGTGAAAACAGTTGTGCTTCTTAATATTTTTGTGGAGATTGTGCTGCTTTAATATTTTTTTTCAGGATTCTTTGATGAATAGAAAATCAACGAACATCATTTGAAACAGAAATCTTTTTCTATCTGTCGAAAATGTCACTTTCAATCAATTTTAATGCATCCTTGCTGAATAAAAGTGGAAAAGTGTTGGGGAAAAAATCTTTAATTTCTTTAAATTGTAATTATCTTTCACAATATTACTATTTTTATTGTATTTTTTGATCTAATAAATGCAGCCTTGGAGTGCATAAGAGACTTATTTCAAATCATTTTAAAATCTTAATTATTCCAAAATTTTGATTTGTAGGATTGCAATACGAAAATAAAAATGTCTTTAACATTTAAAAAAAAATCTTATTTGATATTTAAATGTTTGTTTGAGGTGGAAATAAACCTGCTTGCCTAGTCAAACCTGTTTAGCTTGCTGGTTTCAGATGGATTTTAGGGACTTGTCAGCAAGTTAAACAGTTAAACCAGCTTGGAAAGCAGGAAAACCAGCTTTAAGAGACCCCAAAAATGACATTTCTGTCTTCATTTACTCACCCTCAAGTTGTTCCAAACCTGTAAGAATTTAGTTTTCTGTTAAACACAAAAGAAGATATTTTGAGGAATGTTGGTAACCAAACAGGTTGCTGGTATCCATTGACTTCTACAAAATACTGTGGAAGTCAGTGGCTACCAGAAACTCTTCAAAATATCTTCTTTAGTTTTCAGCAAAAGAAAGAAATTCACAGGTTTGGAACAACTTGAAGGTGAGTGAATGATGACAGATGACTATACCTTTAAACCAGCTGAGACCAGCAACCCAACTTTAAGCTGTATTTTACAGCAGGGTAAAGCAATAACAAAATAAAAGTTTAGCTGAGAGAAACAAAATAGTGCAGAAAATGTTTTTGTGATGTCTGCAGCATTTTTAATTCCCTGAAAAGTGTTAGTGTTACGATAGCGCAGCTGCTAATTGGATGCAAATAATGCAGTGAGTGGATGGCGCCCTAATGCTTAGCGTACTGCGCTAGCAGCGGGCAGACTGCATGATGTCACGGAAGCTACAGCTGAAAGTAGGGCAGTGCGATGGGGGAGGAGGGGCCGGCTGACCTACATACAGCTGTGAGACCCAGGGGGGTGTGGGGGTGGACGCTACGGCCAGGAATTAAACAGCGCACACCCTCCTCAAAGAACAGAAGGAAAAGGATGAGGGAAAAGAGGAGAAACAGAGTTTTATAACTGCAGAGGAGGGTGGCCATGTTTGGAGGTGAGAGTGATGGAGAAGAGGAGAAATAGAGGCAGCAGTGCTACAGATGAGACTAGTTGTGAATACATCAGACGCCCACCTCTCCATCTGTTACCAGTAAATGTGCTGGAATTCACTCAGCGGTAAACAAGATCAAATCTTCACATCGTATAGAAAGGGATGGGATTTATTACGGCAAAAAAAAGAGAAGGGAGAGGATGTTGATCCTATAAATTCTCAGTTTAGGACTCAAATTTACATCATGTGGTGACTCAACACTAAAACACCAAAACCATCCAGAGACCTACATTATAGCATTTAAAAGTTTGTGGTCTGGAAGATTATTTTAATGTTTTAATGTCTCTAATTCTCTCCGAGGGTGCAGTCACTTGATCAAAATAATAATCATTTGATTGTGAAAGATTATTACAATTTAAAATAACTTTCTATTCTATTCTAAAATCCTATTTTAACCAATGTAAAAGTATTTACTCTTGATCAATTGAATTTGTCCTTGCTAAATAAAAATAATACTTTCGTTCAAAATAAAACAAACAAAGGAACAAAAAAAAGGTTACTGACCTCAAACTATTGAACATTAGTGTAAGTCCTTAAAACACCCTGCAACAGAAATCCTTTTTTTTATCATAAAAATTTTGATTACTTCTGTTGTCATCATTTGTAAGTCGCTTTGGGTAAAAGCATTTTCTAAATGACTAAATGTAAATTTGCTAATATTGGAAGTAAATCATACCAGGTCTTATTTAAAAAAAAAAAAAAAATTCCAATTGTAAACACTCAGGTTACAGCAATACTAAATACTAATATCTTTTATTTGATTCTATTTATTTTAATTTGATTATTATTTATTTATTTATTAACATCTTCTATTTATTTTAAAACAACAGTTGAAATAGTTTAACTTGATAATATGAGCCATCATATTAATTAGCAGCCTTTAATAATAGTAATATTGTCTGAAGATTCCTGTCCATCTATCCCCCTGCCAGTTCCTATAGAACTATTGGCGGAAGTACACGCTTTTTGGCGTGTTCACACCGCAGGAACTAGGAACGGTTTTAGTTCTAGGAAATCTGTTTGGAGGATCTAAATCAGCTCCTACTTCAGAGTAGAGTCTAAAACAGTTTTGTAGGAACTACCAGTGACGTAATTGTACACTGATTGGCCAAATACATACGAAACACCAGCTACCCAGCATCTTTAAAAAGCCATGTAAAAATATTTACACCACAAGCATGAAAAACTGCGATAACGGCATTTGGCTACCTGTTGTTTGCAGCGTTGTGTTCTTTTTGCAGCCTCGATGATAACACTACAAGTTTTCATAGGAGATTCAGTTCTCCTATGAGATGCTCTTTCAATCACGTAGATTGTGCGTTTATATTCCATCTCCATTATCACAAAACCCACGACACTCAACAAAAACAGCGCCGATCACAGCATCCTCCATTCGCCGGTTGTTGACGTTTGTAAATGCCACTAATAAAGACGTCGCTGTTGGCCACTTCAGAGTTCCCGCTGCCGGTGCAAATGCAACCAGGAAAACGGCCCTAGGGGGAAATGGTTCTCTGCTGGCTAGTTCCTAGAACTACGCAGTGCGAAAGCCCCTTATTTGAGAACAGGAAGAGTCGAGAAGGAAATGGGAAGAAACTGGGATCTACACATAAGCCCATACAGGAAGCTTAATTTATTGATTCATTTGAGGTCATTTAATGGTGATGAAATGTCTAGAACTTCTAATATTTTGAAAAGAGTTTGATATTTGTTGAATTTGAGAAAAAGGCGTGATTTGTCATGTGGTATGTTGCATCACAGGTTGTGTACTGAATGTGTGTCTAAACTTCTGCCTCCAAAGCAGTCGTATAGAATTGCACTAATGTTCTCTTCTCTTATTCTCTTTCTCTCCTCTGTCCTTCATAACCTCTGTATTCATAATCCCCTGTATTTTCCATTGTGTCCTTATCTCTCTATAACTCTCTTTTTCCCACAATGCTCCCTCCATTCCATCACTCTTCTTCTTTTTCCCTTTTTTTCCTGCCTCCCCCTCTCCCCGACCTCGCAGCAGTAAGTACCGTCCTTCCTCGGAGCACCACAATGATAATTTCTCGTTGTCCACCATCGCTGAGGGCTCCCATCCAAATGTAAGGAAACTTTGCGACACCCCTCCTAACCTCCCTCATGCCCGTGCTTTGGCTTACTATGATAACATTATCTGTCAGGTAACGTGTTTCTCGTCTTTCTCTTTCCTCTCCCCCTCCGTCCCCTCTCTGCATGGACCCTGAGCGTAACCTTTGGTAAGGGAGGGGGTGCACAGCGCACAGAGAGATGGGAGCGTTTTCTCCGCTGAAAAGGTCTGCTCTCAGATAGGAGTGTGGTTACTGAGGCAACAGTTGTTACCATAGCAACAGGGTAACCGGGAAACGGCGAAAAAAGCTGGCGTTTTTTTTTTTGTTGCGAGCGAGGCTTTGGATGCTTCGTTAATTGTGGGGCTCGGTGCTGTGGCTGACCCGAGTCTATCAGCCTCTCTCCGACAGGCCGTCCATCTGCCCCACTGTGTCTTTAGATGAGCGGATAGTCTAGCCTGTAGACACGCTCTTTAACAGCGGTTTGAGAGACTCGTGGGAAAGCGGCCCTATTGATCCCATGCAAGAATCAATACAGAGGCAGACCTGGAAGACACGTTCTCCCCCGACACATACATAAACATACACACCCAGACCATTTGTATTAAATGTAAATGCAAGTGACAGGGTTGAATAATTTCATTTGCACCTTTTTGGAATTTGGCTGTAGGGGATTCTAGGTTTCTAGGTCCTATCCGTGAAGTTACAGTTTAGAGGAATATTTCTTGTTTTATGTGTGAGAGGTTGCGAGTTTGAGTCTATAAAATGATTGTATTCATTTTTTATTTAATTATAAATTAATTCATTAATTTTATTTGATTGATTTTTTTTTTATAAATCAGAATTGCATTTGTTTGTCAGTAAATCTGTAATGGTGGTGTGGATCATTTTTTAAAAGCAATATTTTATTATTACAATATTTATATAATATTTCTTCATTTACGTGTGAATAATTATGTTTTTTAAATTTTTGAAAAATTAGCATTCATTTTATTTTATGATATATAGTAATTAAGCTTTTTATTTATTTTAATTTATTATTTTATGTGTTGATTAAATTTTTTATAAAATATGATAGCAGAAATGTAATTTAATCATATTTTATTATTATTTATTCACTTGTAATAGATTGATTTTTTTTAAATAAATTAGAATTTAAGTAAAGATATTTTAAAATAATATTAATAATAATTTATTATTAATATTAATTACAATTAATACACAATTAATTTATGATTAAAACATAATTTTAATTTTTAGTATTTGTTTTATTGATTTATTTTGTAAAAAAAAAATAGAACGACAGACAAAATAAATAAGGATAGCAGGAAATTTAATTATTATTTTATTGTTATTGTTTTAATAAAATGTAATTCATTATTCAGTTTCATTTATTGGATTAAATTAAAAATAGAATTAAATTACATGTATTAATTTAATATAAATTTATATTAATTACAGTGATTAATAAATAATTTTATTTTAATTTAGTATTTTTTATTAAATGATTTTGTTAAAAAAATAAAAAAGGACTACATACATTATTTTTTATCCATTTTTAATAGATAAAGTTTTTAACAAGTAAATTCTAATTTAATTTTTTTAGGTTTCTCAGTAGGTGTATCAATAATGGTGGTGTATGTGGTCGCATTGTATTTTGTGATTTTGTGTTTTTGCTTAACTGGAATAAAGAGAGTTAAGATTAGATGTTTTCTGACTTGAAGGAAAGATAATTCATAATGTAACTTTAAGGTCTAGAAAGGGAAGGAAATCCACTCAGATATCTTAGTCGCTGTTTACAGCAAACATGAGCGATCGCACAATGACAGATTTTTAAGGGTGCCCTGATTGCAGACCTTGGACTCCGCTGAGAGAGCCCACCCACGCCACCCTCCTCCCCCTCCCCCCGCTCCCTTTCTCTCTTCCTCTGCACCGCTGCATGTCTAACTCTTCACACGGGTCTCCTAGTGGTCCTGTGATCTGCTGCTGCTTGTCCACTGCATCACATTAATATACCTGTCTGTCGTTTCACTCGTTTATCCTGGTTCAGAAAGATGAGAGGGTGAGTGGGCTCTCTCTGTGGCAGATTTCACCAACCAATGAAGTGTTGAGCGAAAAATGCAGGATAAACATCTGAGATGCAACGTCTCACTGCTGCCCATATGTGGCGTAACACTTGGCTAACATGTCTGCCGCATGGGTAGATGTAGATCTAACACGGGCGTCATTCTCTTCTGTGGGATAACCATAACACAGCTTTCTTCTCTTTTCAAATCTGATGTGTCTTGGAAAATACATTATTGCAGTGGAAAGCAATGGAAAATACAGTATTTTTTTGCAATAGAAAAGATATGTGCATTTTTGAGACCCTCGGTCATATTATGTTTACTACAGCCCAACGGTGGATTGTTTAATAAAAACAGTCTCAAAAGCTCTCAATACGTATAATATCTATATTGCATACACCCATCCATGCAGTTGCCATCAATTCCAGCCTGGATGCATCAGTCAGATCAAAGTAACTACTTTTTAGCCCTTTTTTTTTTGGTAAACCTTTGGGCAAAATGGACATGAATTCAATGTCTTTGGTACCTGAGCTCAGGATTTTTTTTAAAGAGAATATTGATTATAATTATATTAAATTATATATATATATAGTAGTGCAACTCAAGGCCATATTTTTAAAGGGATAGTACAACCCAAAAATAAAATTCTGTCATTATTTACTCACCGTGATGTTTTTCCAAACCTATATATTATTTTATTCCATGAAACACAAAAGGAGACATTTAAAAAATATATATATATATCTCTAGGCCAAAAAATTAAAACACACACACACATTGTATCATTTCTTTGTCTTAAAAATAGTCTGTCTTGTGTGCTAAATTTCAGATCTTTTTAAACCATATGTTTGATATCTTTGTGATGAACAAATTTAAAATGATAAATGGGATATTTGAAACAAATAATGACAGAATTTTCATTTGTGTGTTATCGATCGCTTTAAATCTAGCACACAGTAAATTTATGTATATTTTTGGATTCCGAGCTGAAAACCTAAAGACGTTAAAGGGCCATAGACATAGTCCCCCAATGTTGATTCTTGGGTAAAGCAAAAAAAAAAAAAAAATCAAAATAAGTGGCACTAAGGTTGGGAACACTTGTCCATTCAGTATCACCTGTCTCACCACTGAAGGATCTTATACACAATGGGACCTTTCCCTGTCCTTCTGTCTGTCTTTCCCTGTGTCTTTCTTTCTGTCTTAGTCTCTATCTCTGTCTCGTTCTGAATGGAAATTATATTTATGAGGTATATAATCCTCTCAATGCCCCCATCCCTCAGAAAACCATGAGCAGATACACCTGGGAGTGTAAGACCAAAGAGGAGCCCGACTGTGAGGTAAGACTTACAACCCCACAGCTCCGCTCAAAGGACAGCAGCTGTCCTTTCATTGTGCTGTTCTCCTGTCAATCAAACTGTACTGACCAATCCTGGCCCTTCTTATCATCATCATCATCATAGTGAAACCAAACTAACAGTATGGTCCATTTAAAGTCTTAAAAAATAGTTCAACCAAAAATATAAGTTCTGTCATCATTTCCTCCATTTGTTCCAAACTTGTATTACTTTTTCTTCTTTTAAACTAAATATGATTTAAAAAAAACACCACAAAAGTGGTCCATACTTGAATTAGTTTTGACAAAAATTATGAAGAAAAGGGGTTTTTAGAGAACAGCTACAGAAGAAATGTATACAGGTTTGGAACAACACAAGGGTGAGTAAATGATTTTTAGGTGAGCGTCCCTCTAAAGAATATAATAATCATCCATTAGTGGAGTTCACATCTGTGGGTGTATATTGTTTCAACTAGATTTGTCTGCAGAAATATAATATGCCAGTTTGATATCAAAAATGAGATAAATTCTCCAAATCCTTTCAAACACTCCATGACCTTCAGACAATATAGGACACCAAAATTGATTGTCTCTTCCGGCCGCGTGGAGGCTTGGAGCTCATCATCGCAGAGAAAACACTCCTGAAAATGAAATGCATGCCATGAAACGAGGAATCTCTCAAGACAAGAAGGGGAGGGGGGGCAAAATGTAGATAGTCAGGCCTCTTTATTACCATCTGCTGCTCCACGGATCGATATGCGCTTGAGTAAAAGAACCCGGCTCTGGCTAGCAGCCAGTCTCTCTCTGTCTCTCTCTCTCTCTCTCTCTCTCTCCGTCTCACTCCACACACAGACCTAAACTCTCAGGGAGGGTCTGTGACTTGACAGATGTTTTGTAATGAAATAGACCATATATAAACTAGAGCGGAAAGGTCAGATAAGTGAAGTGGTAGCTGAATATTCTTCAGGCAGTGATTTTGACGACTTAAAGGAAGAGGTCAGTTCAAAAATGTCATTTATTCACCCTCACGTGTTGTTGCAAACCTGACTGATTTTCATCTGTGGAACACAAAAGAAGATATTTTGAAGAATGTTGGTGACCAAATAGCAAACATTTGGCATTCCACAGAAGAAAGAAAGTCATAATGTTCATTTTTGGGTGAACTATCTCTTTAAGACAACACATGGACCATGCTAGTACACCGAAAAAGCTGGATCTGTCCAACTAATCACTACAGATTTGACCCCTCTCCTCAACACTTTCCAGATTTAAAATGTATACAATTAAATATTTTACTTTATTCACAGAATATGAGTGTGGACCCACTGCTCTATTCCCATGTGCCCTTTGTCCCTCTGTCCACTCCAGTTTTGTGCTATAGACCAGTGAAGCCTCTGATTCTAATGTACAGTCTCCCTTCCTTGTTCCTGTCTCGTCGTCTCAGTGTCCTTCCTCAAAGCTTTGCCGTTTACTGCAACTGACACTTATTTAGGTTCCATTTCTAAAGCTCAGTTTTAGAACAGATCAATGATGTTAAGTATATAAATTTCAATGCCTGATAAAATGCATATACTTATATGCTACCTTTAAAAAAATATAAATACTGCTGTTCAGCAGTTTGAAGTCGGTAAGATGTTTCTTTTAAAAAAAGAAGTCTGTTATGCTCAGCAAGGCTGTACTTATTTGATCAAAAATACAGTAAAAATTGTAATATTGCAAAATATTACTACAACTCAAATAAACAATAAATAAAAATTTTATTTATTCCTGTGATGCAAAGCTGAGTTTGCAGCATCAATACACAAGTCTTTACTGTCACATGATCCTTCAGAAATCTTTCTAATATGCTGATTTGCTGCTCAAGAAACATTTCGTATTATTGTTGAAAAAAAGTTGTGCTGCTTAATATTTTTGTGGAAAACATTTCTTTTTTTTTTTTTTTTTTTTTTAAAGAGTTCTTTGAATAGAAAGTTCAAAAGATGAACATTTATTTGAAATATAATCTTTTGTAACATTTTAACTGTCTTTCCTGTCAGTTTTGATCAATTTAATCCATCCTTGCTGAATAAAAGTATTAATTACATTTTTTTTTTAATCATATTGACCCAAAATTTTTGAATGGTATTGTATGATTTATAGACATGATTATTGACATGAAAAAGAGTTTTAAAAGTAACTAAAGTTACTTTTAAAGTAAGAGTTCACATTATGTCTTGTCTAGTCTTGATTGGCTAATACCTGTCAGCAATCTCTCAACTGTCTAATTAAACTTAATATGATACTACATTAAAGAGTAACACATTTACATGATAAGAACAACATGATAGCTGCCACTTCTCATTAATAGCATAGCTAATGTTGACAGGAAGAATGCAAAGAAATACTCATCAGTCATCTCCTTCATGACTCTTTTCATATCCAAAGAAAATCCCTCAAACGTCTCAAGAGAAGTGTAATCCACCTCCCCATCCAACCACAAATAAAAAGCACATTTTCTAGTTTCATGCCGACGGAAGAAAGGATGCCCTCTATCCAGTAACCATGGAGGTGGCGTATCCCCACATCCTGCCCGAAGTTACAATCTAAGTCATCGCTGAATGGGTAAATCATCTTTAGTAGTCTCAATCGAGTTCAAAACGCAACACACTCGTGCCTTAACCCAACTACACCAAGGAACCAGAACGCTTCATTAGCTTCTAGCAAAACTAGTTTAGCTCAACCAGCTTCCCCTAAAAAACATGCTAGCGTCACTATCACTGGATTGAAGGTGTCAAGTTATCCCTCAAACAAGTCGATTTTGTATCATTCATTTGTTTCAATTACTGCATTAACGAAAGGCCACTGAATGGTTATTCCACAGAGAGAGAGAGTGCTAGGCGTTATTGCTATGGCAGGTGAGCTCCTCTTGCCAGAGCTCTTGTTTCAGTCCATGGCTTTTCCTGTTCACTGGCAGGACAGGAGTGTGGGATGGGGCTGTATGAGTTTTGATGGGTTTGCATGTATGCATGTGTGTCAGGACGGGTGGATCATACAGCCTCCACTCTGCCCAGAGGAGAAAACATCCTCAGCCATTGATCAATCAATCCTCAGCCAACTGCAATCAATCAATTTATTTGACGCAAGATCTGTTCCTGCAGTGCTGTCACACTCCAACTATTTGGATGTGATGCCAAAGTGTTTTGAAAATAGTAGCTACTTATTTATTATTATCATTTGAATTTATTTTATGTTTATGTAAACAACTACATTTATTCACTAAATATAGAAATTTTTATTTTTGGTTTGGTGGAAGTTATTTTTGAACATTACACTAAATTATTGTAAATATTTATATATATTTACAATAATAAAACAACAAAAAAATCTACATATGTAAATGTGAACATATATAAGTGAGTATATGTCAGTATATATATATATATATATATCTGTATATATATAAAATCCAAAAATGTATTTTATAAAAAAAGGCGTAAAATAAAAAAATTAAATTTTTAGATTTAGAGTTTAAATTAAGAACATTGTCTTTTCTACCAGCATTTCGTATTTTTTTATTTTACCTTTATTTTTATATTATATATATATATATATATATATATGTTTGTTTATTTATTTATCTATTTATTTATTTTATATCTTTACAATTGCACATTATGAAATTAAACAACTTTTTTGTTAAAGTAGTAGGAGATGTAATGAGCAATATGATTTTTTTATTTTTTTATTTTAAATACTTAAACATTTATTGGATAATTTGCAAATGATAGTAAGTAAATTAATAAAGAATGCTCATAACATCTCCTTTAATACTTCAATGGATTTGTTTATTTTTATTTTATTTTATAAAGTAGTACATTATGAGCATGATTTATTTATTTTTATTTATGTATTTAATTTATTTTTTATTTAATAATTTAACAAATGTACAATTGCCTAATATCTAATATTTAAAAAAATCATTAAAGTGGGAGACGTAATAAACAATTTGAGGTTGTTGCAGAGGTCTAACATTGGACTGTCATTTCCCAGGATGATCCTAATTCCCAGAACAAGCTGGAGGACCCCGTGAAGGCGCCCCCACCCAAAGAGGACGAGTCGCTGAACATCCAGAACTCACTCACCCCTAAGCACGAGAACCATAAGGTGCTGGGCGAGGAGAACTCTTCGGAGGTAAACTCGCTTCAGAACAACATGATGTAGAACAGAAACAAAAGCACCCTACGCAACCACGTCCACGATCACTTAAAGCATCGAGCAGCAGACGCTACGAGCAGCCACACCCACCACACCATCACCACATGACAGAAAACTTTAAAAACCCCGCCCCTCGTACCCACTCAGTCTCCGCTTCCTGCCCCGCCCCTTGTTGCAGTCTTTTTGCCCTGTAGTCGACCCGCCCCTGACCCAGCCCTTAGATATACACACACCTACCCCTGCCTAACTGAATTACGGCATGCGTTGGTGTATATTGTAAAAAAGAAGAAAAAAGTAAAACATATTCGGGGTTTAAAATATAAAACGTTGTCATAAAAGAAAAAGCTACTGAGAGGTTTTGATGTTTGTCTGACTAATTCAGTGAGTATGTATAAATATATGGAAAAAATGCTTGGATTGATATAAAGAAAAAACACAATGTGTCTTTGTTTTGATGTGATTTCTAATCCTTTGATGTACTTGTTTTATTTTGTACTTTTTTGGGAATATAAACTACAAAGAGAAAAAATCTGACAGTTGTTGAAATAAACCTTTTTAACACTAAAGTCCTTGTCCCTGTGTGGTCCTAGCCTTCGTTGTTTTCCCTGGGCTGATGCCGTCTTGCGCTTACTATCTCTTGCTTTGCTTGGAATTGCGCATGGCTTTTAATACCTGCCCCATAAAGGTCTGCATCACTTTAGACCTGCATACTGACAATGTTTTACAGAAGCTGGCAAGCCTGTCATAAGGGTGAACCAAAATACTACACATCTTTCTGTTATTTCACTGACAAATATGAATTTAAAATCAATTGCATCACTTTCTGAGGTGTTAGGTATCAACTAAGACTCATATTAGACAGTTAGACATGTCTATCACTCTCTCCTAAACTATATGGCTTTATAATCCTGGTTTATAGCCTAATAACCTATGCATATATTGTCAGGAAAATTTTCATAAATTGTTTCCTTAGTTGTTTTTACTACAATAAAGGTCTTGAAATAGTAACCCCCGGTCATTCTAACCTCGGGTAGAAATCCTGGGTGATCTTGCTTCACATTTCACACTGCTCATAATTTACATGGGGTTAATAATTTACCCTGGGCATTCATAAACTGACGTTTCATACTGTACACTCCCAAACCCTGCGTTAACGTTCTTATTAGCATATTTGTCCGTGTCATTGATTGGACGAGCAAGGGTGAAACGTACCTAAATGTTGAGCTTAGAACGATGATAACCCAGGGTTAAGCGCAGTGTGAAAACTTCAAGCTTTTCAGTTGATATAAAGTCTGGAATACACTACACAATTATTAAAATCTTAACGTCAACTTCTCAAGACAGTAAATTGGTAGAAAATCAGGGGAAAAACTGTGCAGTGTATTCCAGCCTTAATATAAAGTTCCCACAAGAATTTGTTCTAAAATTAAATATCAGTTCCACCCTGTTTCTTAATTTGAAAAAAATTGGCTATTTTGTTGAATGGGCTATGAGCCTGTTCACATACTGAATGATATCCCTCATAAGTGTCTCTCTGCAGTCGGTGCAGCTGTCAAACTGGCACTCCAAGATTCTCTTATAAATGAATCACAGTTTCTTTATTGTGGTTTCCTTTTATGAGTTTTTGACGATGAGGTTTGTTTCAGCCCCAGAGCAAAGACCCCTTCCTCCAACGCACTAATAGAGAACAAGTTCACTTGAAACCACCAGCAAATAGGGAGCAGACACACCACTGAGACAATTTGGTCATTTAGCAGTGCAAGTCAGCCATTCTTTTTATTTATTTGTAATGTAATATTAACCTATTTTATTTTATTTTTATCTTTTCCAATCCCGTGTTTTCAGTACCTCCAGGGCCTCTGGTTGGTCTCTTTGTGTGAATCTGTATTATAATGAATAATAGGGAGGCTAGGGAGCACTTCATCCTCTCATATACACAGAGCGACATAAGTGCCTTTTCAATGCACCACAGATGCCTATGAAATCAGATCCGGGAACATACAGACCTTCATAATCACGTGAGACTGTAGTTGTATTGTCTGTGAAGCTCAGTATGTGAAACTTGTTTCTACTTCAATGCTCAAGAGCACTTTGCTTAGTTTTGGCCAAATCTGAGTTTATTACAGTCTTTTTCCTAATCTAATTCCCGCCCACTGCCATGACAACAGCATATACACAAGTATCAAAAACAAGGGAGAGTTCACATGTTCTACACACACTAAAAATAAAAATCCTCAGTGACCTGAGGTGGCTCTGAGTCTCTGACACTGTGAAAAAGGACACAGTAATGTCCCCAGGCGATCCTGTCTCAAGTTTTTGTTGAACCAAAACCAGCTCGATTTCTCACCAGCTCTCTCTCTAGCATTCTTTCTTTCTTCTCTCTCATTTTTCACTGCTTTCTCTCCCTCCCTTTGCTTTTTCTGCCGTGTTGATCCTCATGCAAATGCAATTCTGGGGGTGTAATCGTCATAGAAACACATTCTGATAGTATGGGTCACTGCTAGATTGAGGAGAGGCTGGTCTTTCTCTGCTTTCATTTTCTGTCACTCAAGTGGAACAGCGAAATACAAAGAAGATTCTGCATTTACTTGAAAAAAATGCCCTTTTACAGATAAAACTCTCATTTACATACAAGTAGCCTCAAAAATATTTGGACACTTAAGCCAAATGGTAATGTATACTAAAAAATGTTAATAAATCATCACCATTCAAAATAAAAATTTGTGTATTATATTCTATTGTATTCTTTTATTACATATACATATATGTATACGATATAAAAAAACATATAACTGTATGTGTAATATATATATATATATATATATATGTATTAAAACAGTTGCCTTACACATAGTTATTCATATTTTTATATTGTATATTATTGATATAATATTGTATTTTGTTGAATTTTGAGTGAGAATTCAACTCTTTTATTTAGTGTAATTTACATTATGCGTGTGCGTGTGAACTTCAAAAGATACTAAATAAAACAATTGATAGGTTATACAGTATATATATATATATACACACATATATACAACATAACAAAAACACAAAATTGACATATTTTATATTCATATAATATTGTGTGTGTATGTATATATGTGTATGTATATATATATATTTACATTTGCATTTAGTCATTTAGCAGACGTTTTTATCCAAAGCGACTTACAAAGTAGAAGCAATCAGAGCAACAAGAGAGCAACAATATACAAGTGCTGTAACAAGTCTCAGTTAGTCTAGCACAGTGCACATAGCAAGGTTTAGTTTTTATTAAAAAAAATAAATAAAAATTAATACATAAATTAGACCAAAACGAATAGAATAGGTAAGTGCTAGTATTAATTGGTCAGGTGATGGCGAAAAAGATGTGTCTTTAGATGTTTTTTGAAAATGGCTAAAGACTCAGCTGCTCGGATTGAGATAGGCAGGTCTTTCCATCAGCTGGGGACAGTCCAGGAAAAGGTCAGTGAGAGTGATTTTGTGCCTCTTTGGGATGGCACCACGAGGCGTCGTTTACTTGCAGAACGCAAGCTTCTGGAGGGCACGTAGGTCTGATCTAGCAGCGTTAGTGGTTGCCTTGTGGGCAAGCATCAGTACCTTGAATTTGATGCGAGCGGCTATTGGCAGCCAGTGCAAGCTGATTAAGAGAGGTGTGACGTGAGCTTTCTTCGGCTCGTTGAAGACCACTCTGACTGCTGCATTCTGAATCAGTTGCAGAGGAATGATAGTACATGCAGAAAGGCCCACCAAGAAAGCATTACAATAGTCCAGTCTGGAGAGAACAAGAGCTTGGACAAGGAGTTGTGTGGTCTGCTCGGTAAGGAAGGGTCTAATCATCCTAATGTTGTATAAGGCAAACCTGCAGGACCAGACCGTTGTAGCATTATGGTCTGTGAAGCTTAACTGATCATCCATCACAACTCCAAGGTTCCTGGCTGTCCTGGAAGGAGTTATGGTTGACGAACCTAGCTATATAGAGAGGTTGTGATGAAGTGCTGGGTTGGCTGAGACTACGAGCAGTTCTGTCTTAGCAAAGTTAAGTTGAAGGGAATGATACTTCATCCAGCCAGAAATGTCTGTCAGACAGGCTGCAATGCGAACAGCTACTGTCAGATCATCTGGTTGGAATGAGAAGTAGAGTTGAGTGTCATCAGCATAGCAATGATAGGAAAAGCCATGCTTCTGAATGACAGATCCTAAAGATGACATGTAGATAGAGAAGAGAAGTGGTTCAAGCACTGAGCCTTGAGGAACCCCAGTAGCAAGAAGTTGTGACTTAGAAACCTCACCTCTCCAAGACACCCTGAAGGACCTACCAGAGAAGTAAGACTTGAACCACTGGATTGTGATTCCTGAGATGCCCATCTTCAAGAGGATCTGGTGGTTAACTGTGTCAAAAGCAGCAGAAAGATCCAGCAAGATGAGTACTAAGGATTTAGAAGCTGCTCTTGCAAGTCTCAGGGCTTCAGTAACCGAGATCAGTGCAGTCTCAGTTGAGTGGCCGCTTCTGAAGCCAGATTGGTTGCTATCCATGAGGTTGTTCTTTGCAAGAAACATAGAGAGTTGGTTGAACACAACTCGCTCAAGTGTCTTTGCAATGAACGTAAGAAAGGATACCAGTCTGTAGTTTTCTAAAAGTGCTGGATTTAGAGAGGGTTTCTTTAGCAGTGGGGTTACCAGAGCGTGCATGAATGCTGTGGGAAATGTACCAAAGTGAAGAGAGGCGTTGATAATGTGAGTGAGCGTGGGTATAACTGAAGAAGAAATGGCCTGAAGGAGGTGAGTGGGGATAGGATCAAGTGGACAAGTAGTAGGAGGATTTGAAAGGATAAGTTTGGAAACGTCCGTCTCCGAGGGTGGAGAGAAGGAGGAGAGAGAGTGTGTATTTGTCGTTATGAAGTTATCCTCAGTGTGGAGAATTGGTCGCTGATGGTTCTTGTTTTATTTATGAAGAATATTGGAAAGTCATCAGCAGTATGAGTTGATGAAGGAGGGGGTGGAGGAGGACAAAGAAGAGAAGAAAAGGTTTTGAAAAGCATTAATAAGTTGTTAATTTGTTGTCAAGTTGTTAATTTTGTTGTGGTAGTATGTTGTTTTAGTACTGGAGACACTTGCAGA